TCCTGAGTTTAAGGGAGAACTCTGAGGGGACAAAGCGGAGCCAAGGGCAGTGAGGCTGAGGGGGCTCAAAACAGCTAAACCTGGGACAGGGGGAAGCTGTGTGTTTAAAATTTTGCTGCCTGAGACAGAAAAAAAAATTCGGTCTTTGGTGGGAGGCCTAGCTGGAGTCTGAAGCCTAGTAAAAGTAGCTAGCTTGCCAGTAGATGAGTGCTGGGAGCTAAATTGTAACACAGACACTCACTGACAGGGAAAAAGTGGACTTTTAAAATCAAGGCTTTTAAAAGTGAATAATAAGCCTTAAGAGAGGAAAATGCCTTTGACTAGAAGGAAGAAAACTGAGCAGGTGCCTTGTGAAACAGCAGTTGGATCAGATGAGGAAAACAGGGATTTTGAAGAAGGATTTGCCTCAGCTCAGGAGGGAGAGTCCTCAAGGGAAGACCCATTAGAGTTCAGAAAATGGAGATTTGAGCTGGAGATGAGGGCCAAAGCTGAGGAGAGACAAATGTCCTTACAAATGGAGAAAGAGAAAATTGAGATGGAGAAAGAGAGATTGGCCTTACAATTAGAGAGGGAAAATTGGCGAGGGAAGAAAGACTAGAGAGAGAACGTATGGCTTACGGACTCAGAAGGCTAGAATTGGAGAATCAAAACAATAATAACAATAGGGGAGCCAGCTCTGAGGGGAGTCAGTTATCTAAGGCAGACCTGAAGAAATTCCCACTTTTTAGGAAGGGAGATGATCCAGAATCATTCCTTGTGGTGTATGAAAGAGCGTGTGAGGATTTTCAAGTGAGGGAATCTGAAAAGATGATTATATTGAGATCCCAAATTAGTGGAGGCCTGGCTGAGATCTATGCGGCGATGCCAATTGAGTTAATTAAAGATTATACTGAATTCAAAAAGTTAGTGTTTGCCAGGTATGGCATAAACTCAGAACATCTGAGACAAAAATTCAGGTCACTAACTAAGAAGCCTGAGGAATCTTACTCACAATTAGGAGCAAACTTGTCTAGATATTTAGACAAATGGCTGTTACAGGAGGGAGTTCAGACAGTTCAGGATCTGAAAAATGTTGTGGGGTTGGAGCAGTTT